CCCTCGGTTCCCCCCCCCCCCCCCCGGGGCCCGGCTCGCCACGCTAGCTCCCAGCCTGCACCGCGGCGCTCAGGCCGGGCGAGCGCGAGAGGCTCATCGGGCTCGCGCGCTCCGGTGGCTCCGCCCAATCCCTCCGTGAAGAGGGCGTGGCCTGAAGGGGCGTGGCCTGGCAGTACTTGTCCGGTTCGCGGAATTTCACCACACACGACGCAGTCGCATTAGGGAAAGGGCCAGGAACAGGCTCATGTTTTTTTTTTTTTTTTTAAATTATTTCATTTTTTAAACTAAAAACAAACAATCTGTTATTTTCCATTCCATAACAGATGAGCATACAGCTATTTCTTCGTTTCATAACAAATGAACATATGATTTCAGCATTCCGCTATTTTCATTACATACAACTTAAATATCACCTTCTGTTCAGCGGCCTACTGCCATCTCCGTCTTGCCCAGCCGTGGTCCCTCAGCCAAAAAAGCCCTCACACTGAGCAAAGTGCGTGTGTACAAATAAACATACGGGCTTAGGTCTCGCCTAGGATTTCCGCAGGCCCAAGGGAGGGGGTTATTTTCCTCAGAACCCCCCTCCCCCCCCCCAGCTGCTGGAAAGCTTTGCTTCCCGCCACTTTATCGCTGGTGGTGGCCCTCCCCTCTCCAAGAAGCAGCCTCTTGAGGGAGTTTGGGCCTGCCGTGAAAGGGGGGAAAGCAGTGAAGACTGGCACCCCCTCCTTTGCACCTGATAGGCTCGTCTCGCGGGCTGATTTCCCGCGCTGGAGGCCTCGAAAAGCCTTCCCGCCCGCCCTCCAAACTGCCAGGCCACGCCCCCTCCGTGGATAGGGCGTGGCCTGAAGGGGGCGTGGCCTGGCAGTTTGGAGGGCGGGCAGGCACTTTTCCCGGGCGCCTCGAGGCCCCTGCTGGGGAGGAGGGGCTGACGGGAGGCTACAGCGCGGGAACTGCGGCCGGGAGGAGCCGCCGAGGCGGGGATCGCGCGGCGGAGGGAGAAGCCGGGCGACGAGATTCTGAGGAGGTCCCGAGAGAGAGAGAGAGAAAGCGGAGGGGGTGAGGGGGGAAAAAACGGGCCGAGGGAGGGGGAATGGAAGAAGGAACGAGGGGGAAGCTGAAGCCGGGAGGCCCCCGAGGCCCTGAGGGAGGGAGGGGAGGTGAAGTGAAAAGAGGCGCCCGAAGAAAAGGCGGTTCTTCCTTTGCCGCGGGAGGGCGATCGGGTTGCCAGCCTCCCGGTGGGGCCTGGGGATCTCCCGCTTTGACAACGGCCCCCCAGCTGACAGAGATCCGCTCCCCTGGAGAAAAATGGCCGCTCTGGAAGGCAGACTCTATGGCATTGTGGGATGCTGAGGCTCCTCCCCAAACCCCGCCCTCTCCTGGCTCCGCCCCCAAAGTCCACAGGTATTTTCCAAACCCGACCTGGCAACCAGTGCTCCCTCTAAGCCAGTTTGGTACAGCGTGGACTCTAATCTGGGAGAACCGGGTTTGATTCCCCACCCCTCCACTTGCACCTGCTGGATGACCTTGGGCAAGCCATAGCTCTGATAAGAGCTGTCCTTGAAAAAAGCAGTTTCTGTCAAGAGCTCTCTCAGCCCCACCCACCTCACAGGGTGTCTGTCTGTTGTGGGGAGGGGAAGGGGAAGGAGTTTGTAAGCCGCTCTGAGACACCTTTGGGTAGTGAAGGGCGGGGTATAAATCCAAATTCCTCTTCTTCTTTTAACTCACAGGGTGTCTGTTGTGGGGAGGAGAAGGGAAAGGAGTCTGTAAGCCGCTCTGAGACTCCCTTGGGTAGTGAAGGGTGGGGTATGGATCCAATCTCTTCTTCTTCAGTCACAAGTTCTCTCACAGCTGTTCTTTCAAGAGCAGTTTCTGTCAAGAGTTCTCTCAGCCCCACCTGCCTCATAGGTTGTCTGTTGTGGGGAGGGTAAGTAGTTTGTAAGCCGCTCTGAGACTCCCTTTGGGTAGTGAAGGGCGGGGTATGAATCCAATCTCTTCAGTCACAAGTTCTCTCACAGCTGTTCTCTTAAGTGCAGTTTCTGTCAGAGCTCTCTCAGCCCCACCTACTTCACAGGGTGTCTGTTGTGGGGAGGGGAAGGGAAAGGAGTTTGTAAGCCACTCTGAGACACCTTTGGGTAGTGAAGGGCGGGGTATAAATCCAAATTCCTCTTCTTTTACCTCACAGGGTGTCTGTTGTGGGGAGGAGAAGGGAAAGGAGTCTGTAAGCCGCTCTGAGACTCCCTTGGGTAGTGAAGGGCGGGGTATGAATCCAATCTCCTCTTCTTCAGTCACAAGTTCTCTCAGCTGTTCTCTTAAGAGCAGTTTCTGTCAGAGCTCTCTCAGCCCCACCTACCTCACAGGGTGTCTGTTGTGGGAAGGGGAAGGGAAAGGAGTTTGTAAGCAGCTCTGAGACACCTTTGGGTAGTGAAGGGCGGGGTATAAATCCAATCTCTTCTTCTTCTAGGGTCTTCTACCTTGTAAAAGTACTTGGCTTGCCATTTATGTAAGACCACCAAATGAGCTTGTACACTGATTCAGGGTAACTTGAGATCCTCCCCCTCAAATTTTATTGGCTGAATGGATACTGCTTGTTTTATTTGCAGGGTTTTTTTCACCTAATATGTTTAGCAAAATAGAGACTGGTTGCAATGGTATCTTGTAACATCCAATTTTCCTGACATGTTCTTCTTCTTGCCTGGAATCTAATTATTGTGGGACTGTTGCACCAGCCAAATGTGACCATTTTCTTTGTGTTTCCCCCCAACATAGCTTTTGAGTATTAAAGTGGCTAAAAGTTAAGTACCGAACAGTTACCGCCTATTAACTTCTTTAGAGGACTGCACTCTGTATCTATCCAGAGATATAAACCATCTGTTAAGAATTCTTAGAAATGCTTCTTACATTTAGGTATGAGGTATACAAGGAGTATAGTTATCCATCTACTACACCTATACCAGTAGTTGTACCACTCGTGTTTCCCCATTCTTTGCCAAACAGTGGTCCTTTATCTGAATTACAGGAAGCAAATTTCTCACAGTACTGAAGTACCATGTCTAGTATCATATTTTTTTTGTTGCAGTACATTTTCAAACCCTCTAGGCAATTTTTTTCTTGCCTTCTTTTATGTTTTTAGTTTGGAATACTTGTAGGTATTGCAAGCATGGTATGTTTGTATATTGATCTGTCTATATGATCCCAGAGGAGTTTCATATTTTTTGCCTGGAACAAAGCATTTCTCTTTCAGAGAGCATTTCTATTTTGGAGAGAGAGGTTTGTCTAATCAGCCTCCTATTCGCCATGTCTGAAAGGAGTTTGGTTCTCTTGATTTTTTTTTTTTTTTTTGGTAAAGGTCAGTTACCTGAGATCTGGTAGAAGCCATTAATATCTCTTGTCCTGTATCTTAAGTTATTACACGTGCTTTTTCTATAGGTGAGAACAGGCAGGAAGGAGGAGTGGTGTGATGTCAGAAGACCTCTTGTTGCAGTCTCCACCGGTGAAGGTTCTGGCTGCACAGCTGCGGCGGTACTCTCGGATTCCTGGTGGTCAGTGGCTGTTGGCTCGGGAGGAGTATGGACGCCCCCCTTTGGCAGTTCCCCTTGTGTGGATGCAGGGCACTGTCTTCACCGTGGACCAGGACGGCTCGACTGTGCAAATGCAAGATGAAAGTGGCTCTTTCAGGGTTCAGGGAGCAGACAAGGTCCCCAAAGGGCGGCCCTGCCTCAGTGCTGGGAAGTATGTGATGGTGATGGGGCAGGTACTGTCTTGTAGCCCGGAGCCCATCCTTCGAGCAGTGAAGATGACAGCTCTCACCGACAGTGTCTTGCATAGGAACATGTGGGGGCTGGAAGTGGAGGATTTGCACAGAAATCTCCCTTAGTGGCGGAGGCCGCTTTGGTCTGTATGCTTGTTTTCCGAAGAAAGCGAAGTCCTGAAGAGCCGTTTGATTCTGCCTTTGAAATTAATTTCGAACGTATCCTTCAGAGAACTTGAATTACTTGGAGAAATTTACTTACTCAGTTTACTGCAGGAGTTGAGAGCAGCGGGAACTGAAGAGTGTGCATTTTTGAATAGTTACTATTTCCAGATAAGTCAGTTTGGATAAAGCAGCATCAGGTTAGTACAGTGGAAGACTAATTGTTGCCACAATAAAAGATCCGCAGTAAAAAACAACAACGATCCTTTGAGCATAACTGATGTTGTTCTTTGAGGTTTTGCAACCAGTTACGGTTCATACTGATGCAAAAAGCCTACTTTGGACAGAATACTGTTCTTTCTTTCTGTCTTTCCTTTCTGAAGATGGCATAAGAATAGCTGGGATCAGACTTCCCCACGGACCCATATAAAAGGCATGTCATTGCTTGCATTCACTGCTGGCCAGGCTGCAGTAGCAACAACTCCTTAGCAGGTCTATAGACTGAGGTAGTGGCATGCAGTTCCCAGGTAACCCAGAATGCCTGGCTTCCCAAACCAGCTCAGGCTTCCAGTGATGCTTCCTCGGAGGCTGGTGGGATGGGTCGAACGACGAGAGCGGGACTATTTGCATGTGTGAGGACAATACAAAGGGGCCTATAGGGTAGCACTACAGTAAATAGAACACACCCTTGCGGAGAGGAAGGGGCATAAGGGCAACTAGGGGTCGGTCACAGAAACAGCCAGGGCTGCTCCGGAGCCACGTGTCTGTCGGTACCTTGGATCAAAGGGTATGGATGGCATTCCCCAGGTATATTCCTAGCAATTCCTTTGCAGCACCGCTTTAGGAACGGAGATGATCCTCCACCGACTATGAGTGGCCATGAGGTGAGGCTGGGTGCCAGTGGGACAGGAATGGTAACTGGAGCCTCCCGTGCTGAATGCAACCACCAAATCCCTCCGTACAGGCAATAACTATGACGCAGTGCAATGCATAGCAGCCCATCCCTTCTGCAACCTCCAGTCCTTGAACAGCAATATCATATGTGCCAAAAGTAGTTTCCACATTTAAAAATCACCACCACAAACGTCAGGCTAGCACGTGTCATAGAGCCACGTCCCCAGCTCGCAGATCTTTGGAAACGAGAGATTTGACTGGTGAGAGCAACTAATGGCTTTACTTCAAATGCCATAGGCAGGGGTCATTTCGTAGAAAGAGAGCTAGGGGAACTCATTAGCATAACTCATTAGCATATGCCACACCCCCTGACATCACCGGAAGTGTGTCATAAGGCCACACCCCCCGCCCCCAACGGCCCCGGCCGTCGCCGCCGGCCTTGCAGCTTCACTGCCGAGCCCCACGAGGGGCCCAGTGGTGGACCTGCAAGGCCAGTGGGAGTGCGAGGAAGCCCCGCGAAGGCCCTCCCTGGCCCCAGGCAGGCAGGGGTGGGGAGAGGCAGGGAGGAAGCAACTTACCCTCCCTCTTCTCCTGCCTCCTCCTGGCTGAATGAGGGCCGGAAGCAGGGGGCGGGGCTTCGTCATGTGCCCCACCCCCTCATACCTCACCCAGGGGAACTGCGTTCCCCCTCGTTCCCCCCCGAAATGACCTCTGGCCATAGGTATCCTGGCAATGGCTGAGCCTGTTGACTGAATAGGTGGGGCAGCCCTGGTCTTGCTGCAGCGCCCCTTTGCTGACAAGAGTGCTGCATTGGGGCCAGCAGCAATGTTCCCTCTAAGCTATGGAGTTCGTTGAGCAAAAATCCTACTTTGTGAGCTACCGGCATTAAAGTGGTGAGCAGGCGATTTGGCTACTGCATGAAGTAGTTTGCTCTGGAGCCCTCCTTCCTGAGCTAAGACAAAAATCTGTGAGCTGGAGGCTAAAAAACTGTGAGCTAGCTCACACTAACTCAGCTTAGAGGGAACACTGGCCAGCAGTCACCAGTTTCCACAGTAGGCTCTTTGGCTCGCTGTGATTTACTTTCATAACTCTTTACAGTTTCTGTCATTGAATTGATTTTCTCCTCTACAGTCTTCCAAATTGTGTGATCTCTAGGTTTTAGTTCTTTAATTTGATTTTTGTTCCAATGTTTTCTTTCATTTCAGAGGTCATCTTTTCTTCAGAGTCTTTTAGTACTTTAGAGAAAATTGTTCTGGTGTCCTCCACAATAATCCTTTCTGGAGTGTACTTTCCCCACTCTTTATTCAACTTCTTTTGCAGCCATATGAAAGTAGCATTGCGAAGTAATTATCAATCCCTTATTACCCTAGACACCCAATGCTGGCATATTAAATATTCAACAGTTGGGGACATTTTCCTGGTTTTTCCCATTAAAGACATGCAGATGTTCTGCATCCATTGAGAATCGTTTCCTTGAGCTTCTCCTTCAGCAGCCAGGCTCATGCAGTCTGAACGACTAAGCTGGTGTGGCTGGAAATGCTTCTGGCAGGGTGGAAGCCAGGTGGTTGAGAGGGATAGGCTGGCTGAAAACTGAGAACCCACAACTGGCCTGTGATTGTGTTAAGTGTGACCCAGGGCTAGGGGGACCCAGACCCAACCTGTGTACTCTGTAACATAAAGGTAAAGGTTCCCTTGCTCGAAAGTCAGTCGAATCTGACTCTATCTCCATTTCAAAGCCGAAGAGCCAGCGCTGTCCGAAGACGTTTCCGTGGTCATGTGGCCGGCATGACTAAACACCAAGGCGCACGGAACCTTCCCACTGAAGCGGTACCTATTTATCTACTTGCCATTTCTTGCTTTCGAACTGCTAGGTTGGCAGGAGCTGGAACTAGAGACGGGAGCTCACTCCGTCATGCGGCGCACTCGGGTCTCGAACTGCCAAACTACCGACCTTCCACAGCCTGCAGTTCAGCGCCTTAACCACTTGAGCCACCGCAGCTCCTTACTCTGTAACATGTGAAGAGTTGAAAGACAGCCATGTCTCCAGCATCCCAGAGCCTGAGATTCACAAGACTTAATAAAAGGAAGTATCGACATGCTGCTTGTATTGCGTTCTGTGTGTCAGTCATTTTTAAAAGACCAGCCAAACTGCCAGTAATAATAATGATTTGTTGCTTTACGCACTGAGTATTTCAGACTGGTTATCCAAAGTTTGGAGCATACAACAGAAGCTGGTGTGTCGCTTCAATGTAGGACTTAAGTGTCTGCCACTGGATGAAGTAGAATGGAGGACGGTGGATCTGCACTCTTAAGGGGAGGGCATTGTGCAGAGGTAACCTGCCAACCTTCGCAGTGTGTTGGTGCTGCTGAGGGACGGGGTTAACAGTTTGTTAAGCAGTAGGACACTGGGCTCATGACATGACATTCACCTAAACACAAATATACTCTGTACAAGGGCAACTCTTAATTGCCATGTCGTTCACCCTAACTCAGGTTTCAAAAAACCCACTAAACTCCTCATGTATATTTCATCATTTCAGAAGACTATAAATTAGGCTTTTTGTAAAGTGTAGCACTGTTCCTTCTGCAGTGGTGGTGGAGGTAAGCAATGTGGAGGACCATGCGTGGAGGCCCAACATAGCTTTTGCCCAGTGGTCCAGCTGTCTCCAGTTCCCTCATGTATATTTCATCATTTCAGAAGACTATAAATTAGGCTTTTTGTAAAGTGTAGCACTGTTCCTTCTGCAGTGGTGGTGGAGGTAAGCAATGTGGAGGACCATGCGTGGAGGCCCAACATAGCTTTTGCCCAGTGGTCCAGCTGTCTCCAGTTCGGTGTAGTGGTTAAGTGCATGGACTCTAATCTGGATTTGATTCCCCGCTCCTCCGCTTGCAGCTGCTGGATGACCTTGGGCAAGCCATAGTTCTGATAAGAGCTGTCCTTGAAAAAGAGCAGTTTCTGTCAGAGCTCTCTCAGCCCCGCCTACCTCACAGGGTGCCTGTTGGGAGGGAAAGGGAAAGGAGTTTGTAAGCTGCTCTGAAACTCCGAGTGAAGGGCGGGATATAAATCCAATCTCCTCTTCTTTTTCTTCTTCTGGAGTGGGGGGCCAGTTCATTTTGCCTCCAAAGCTTATAGGTCCAGTTGGTTTCCAAAAGCTTAGGGGAATTTGAAGTGCTTGGCTGGTGACTCAACCAAGACTGGACGAAGACTGGAATGCCAGCCATCGAAAGGCCTTGGGCAGTGTTGCTCCAAGGCATCGTCCTCTCCTTTGAGTCCCAGCACTGTGGCATAGAGGTGAGATGAAGAAACAAAAGGGAGTGGGGAGACATCTTGAGTAGCCCCGGTGTAAGACTCAGGTCAAATCAGATGGAGCACACCGTGGCAAAGAAACCTCCTTTTTCACCACCAGCCAAATTGCATCTTACTCAATTGCACAATGGACCATTTAGTAGTATGGCTCTTTCAGGATTTGGTATTGTTGAGGACATAATGAGGTGTGTTATTTAGAATGTTAGCATAAATAGGCCTGAGAACTGGTTTTAATTTATTGTGATACTGCAGCATGTGTTTTTAGTCACTGTTCTAGCAATCCTGAGGTTTTACCTTGGACAGACAACTCACTGGCAAAACACAAATAACAAAAACACCACCCAGATCTATTGTCTAATGTATAATGTTACATGAGGAGCTGCGGTGGCTCAAGTGGTTAAGGCGCTGAACTGCAGGCTGTGGAAGGTCGGTAGTTCAGCAGTTCGAGACCCGAGTGTGCCACATGACGGAGTGAGCTCCCACCTCTACTTCCAGCTCCTGCCAACCTAGCAGTTCGAAAGCAAGAAATTGCAAGGAGATAAATAGGGACCACTTCGGTGGGAAGGGAACAGCGTTCCGTGCGCCTTGGTGTTTTGTCATGCCGGCCACATGACCACGGAAAAGTCTTCGGACAGCGCTGGCTCTTCAGCTTTGAAACGGAGATGAGCACCGCAACCCTAGAGTCGGATTCGACTGGCTTTCGAGCAAGGGAACCTTTACCTTTATAATGTTACATAGAGCTATGAATAGATGACTTCCCACCCCAGAACAATCATAGGATGAGCAGAACAATGTTGGCTACAAATATTCTTTGGGAAAGCATCGCTGTGCATCACACTACGCTTTAGAGGTTACAAAACAGAAAGTTTAATAAAGTGTTGGCTCATGTAATTGTGTCTTTCCTGCAAAGGCTCTGGTAGGACTCTTAGAAATATTAATTCTAAATTAAAGTTAGGTAGGGTAAGAATCCACTACCTGGATGGCCCAAGCTAGCCTAATCTTGGAAGCTAAGCAGGGTCGGCCTGGTTAATATTTAGA